GGGCTGGGCTCGGGGTGCTCCGCGCAGGAGCTGAGCTGCGCTTTGGGGTGCGGGTGGGGGGATGTCCCATCCCTGGGGTGGTGACCTCGGGGCGCGGATCCTGCCAGCAGCACCGGAGCAGCCCCAGGGCTGTGGGGTGAGCCAGCGGGTGGGAAGCTCTGGCTGTTGGGTGCCCGTGGCACCGCGGCTCCCCCGACACGGAGCCCAAGCTCAATCCCTGCTCGGCAGGGCCCTGAATTCCGGCGGCAAACAGCAGTGTCAGCTGTCAGCATCCCTGGCCAAAGGGCTCTTGTGAGCACCTAGTGCCGATGGAGCCGTTTTGGGGAGCAGGGAGCTGTGAGGTGCCCACGCTGGGCAGTGCCAGCTCTCCCTGGGCATTGGTTTGGTGCTGGTACCTGGGAAGGTTTGAATTTGGGCAGAGAAGGGTGATGAGATCGTGCTGGCTGTCAGGGTGGTGGATGGGACCTTCAGCAGAACCATCAAAGCCTTGTTGCATGGCTGCATCCCCAAATCCACATAGATATCCATATCATTACATGGCTGAGATATTCATAGCTGTATGTATCATACAGATACAGTTTTCCCTTGCTCCCAGGGAGTTTGCTAGGCAGAAAGCCTCCAGGCATTATGCAATGCACTGGGAAAGAGCAGGTAGAGCAGGATTCAGCCCTCACCCAGGCACTGGAGCACCCTAGGGATGTGGGGGGACAAAGAGAGTGCCCCAGGACCCCCTTGCCTGCTGCATGGCTCAGGGTCTGTCACCCGTTGCTCCGTGCCTCAGTTTCCCCTCTTGGAGCTGTGTCCCAGCCCCTGGGCTGTGCTGGGAGGTCACGGGGGCTGGTGGCACTGAGGATGGGCACTGTGGTTGCAGTACCGTGTGGGGCAGCTCTACACCATCAGCAAGCACAGTCACCAGGAGAGCGAGAAGGGTGAGGGTGTGGAGGTGGTGAAGAACGAGCCCCACGAGGACCCTGTCCATGGCCTCGGCCAGTTCACCGAGAAACGTGTCCACCTCTCCAGGTGAGCCTGCAGCTCCGATAGGGTGGGCATGGGCAGGCAGCAGGGTGGCCCCAGCCTTCCCTCCAAAATTCCTGGGGAATACCCTTGTCAGTCCTGGAGACCCTGAAATGTGGCTGCTCCCATCTCCCAGGAGTGCCTGCAACTCCCAGGGCTCCCCATTCTGTGCCAGGGCTGCCCTCACCATCTCCCACAGGTGCCTGCAGCTCTCAGGAGTGCCTCCCTCCTCTTGAGGGACTGCCCCTGTCTCCCATGGGTGTCCACGAGTCCTGGAGTGCACCCAACTTTGGGGGGCTGCACCCATCACCCAGGCTGCACTTGTCTTCAGGGGCTGCACCCACCTTTGGGGGTTATCACCCAGGGTGCACCCATCTCTAGGGGCTGCACCCACCTTTGGGGGCTCTCAGGGTGCACCCACCTTCTTAGGGGTGCACCCCTTTTGGGGGCTGCACCCATCTCCTGAGGTGTACCCATCCTTGCAGGGGTCACCCCTCTCTGGTGAGTGCCCATCTCGGGGTGCTGGTGGGGCACCTGGCGATGCCCAGGCCCTGGGGGTGCCCCCACAGCCCTGCACAGTGCCCTGGTGCCCGTCGGGCAGTGCTGTGCCCCAGTGCTGCTGCCCCATGTCCCCCGGGCACTGCTGCTCCCCGCCCGGGACTGGCTGGGGGGGCTGGCGGGAGACAGGCTATTTATAGCCGCAGCACTCACGATTTCCCTCTCAGGGCTGGTATTTATAACGCCTGAAAATTAATGCAAACCCACCTCTCAGCTGCCCTGGGGGGGCCTGATCCTGCCTGGAGTGCTGGGGGGGACAGGAATACCTTGAGATCCTGACAATGTGGAGGTGGAAGGGTCCTGGGGAAGGGTCTGGAATGGGGAGTGGTGGCCCAGGGTGCCTGGGGGGAGGTGGGAGTCCTGGGGAGAGGCTGGGGGCACTGGGTGGAGATGAGGGTGCTAGAGTGAAGATTAAGGCTCCTGGGGAGTTGGCACAGATCCCTGAGGAAGTGCTGGATACAGGTGATAGTGCTGGGAAGGTGACAGGGGTCTCTGGCAGGGGAATGCTGGGGCAGAGGTGAGGGTCCTTGGGAGATGGACTGGGTCCCTGATGGTGTCCTGAGGTGCAGGTGATGATCCTGGGGTGCAGATGAGGGTCCTGAGGAGGTGGCAGGTGTTCCTGGCAGGTCCTGAGATGCAGGTGAGGGTCCTGGGGAGCCAGTGGGGTCCCTGGGGAGTGGATGGGGGTGCCAGATACAGGCCATTCCATGAGGGGCTGTGCTCAGTGGCACAGGGCTGGGTGGCACTGGCCATGTCCTGCCCTGAATGGGTCCCCCACCACGGTCCCCTGCAGCAAACTGCCGAGCTGGGCACGGGCGGTGACCCCTCGCATCTTCTACATCACAGAGAAGGCCTGGAACTACTACCCCTACACCATCACTGGTGAGTGCCGTGCAGGGCACAGGGACGGGCACTGCTGGGCACTCTGTCCCTCCCCAGTGGAGCAGTGGGCTGCCAGGAGCCCAGCTGTGCCCACTGCCCCAGGCTCACCGCTCCCTCTCTTCCCCCATGCTGCCACCTGGCAATGGCACTCCATCATCCTGATGTGCCACGGTGTCCCTGCAGAGTACACGGTAAGGAGGTGGCATGGGGGGACCTGACCCCTTCCTCAGCACCTGGCATGGGGTGGGCATCCCCCAAGGAGGGGTGTCCCTTCGGGTCAGCATTTTTAGGTGTCAGTGTCCCCTGGGGCGGGAATCCCTCGAGGGTGGGTGTCTCTCAGGGCTCAGTGTCCCTTGGGGTGAGTGTCCTTGGGGCTGGGTGTCCCTTGGGGTGAGTGTCCTTCAAGGTGAGCATCCCTGGGAGTGGGCATCCCTCGGGCACCAGCTGATAGCCACTCCCTGCAGTGCTCCTTCCTGCCCAAGTTCTCCATCTACATCGAGACCAAGTATGAGGACAACTGTGGGGACAGTGAGAACGTGAGTGTGTGCTGCAGCTGAGACCTGGCAAACTCATTGCAGGGGGGGACATGTGGTCTGTGTCATTCACCTCTCCTCTCCCCTCCCCAGATCTTCCACAGTGACAAAATCCTGGGTGACCACGAGGTCTCCTTCTTGGACATCGCCTTCGACGAGATACCCGAGCGCTACTATCGCAGCCTGGA